CCTATTTCATCAGGGGAGATGACAGCCACCGTTTATCCAAATCCCACTGTGTCTGTGGTGCTGGGAAGGTGTCTATTTGTTTAGAACCTAAGCCCCCTGGGGAGTGTGCCTTTCATATCAGTCTATCTGTGAGTCACACTCTGGCAGGGCACACACACACACACACACACACACACACACACACACAGCCCCTATTTCATCAGGGGAGATGACAGCCACCGTTTATCCAAATCCCACTGTGTCTGTGGTGCTGGGAAGGTGTCTATTTGTTTAGAACCTAAGCCCATTTCAGAAGCTGGCAAATTATCTTTCTATTCCTGATTCACAATGACGAGGGGTGGGGTGGGAGGGGTAAGGAGCCAGGGACAGCAAATGAGGGTGCTAGGGTAGAGCAGGGTGCCATTCAGAAAAAGAAATATGTTTTTGAATATTTACAGAAAGATTATTTATATTACAGGAATGGTCATTTTCCATTTGAAACAGAGGATTTATTTGAACTGGGAAACAGCTGTGATCTATAAGTCTCTTACAGTCACTTGGCTTAACTCAGCAGTTTGATAAATCATGCATCCTCACGTGAATTGTCCTTTATATTCCTGTTTCCAGAGGCCCACCTCTCTCCACAAGGCACACTTTCAGGGTATGAAATGAACTGCACCTCTTGAGATTAACAGCCCATTTTTGTGATGGATCTCTAGGCTGCAAAATTTACTAAATCCAATAGATCAATAACTGTCACTAGCATATATACTCTAAAAGATTAGGTGATCCTTCAATCATTTTTCTTCTGTAACTTGTACATGTTTTATTTATTCTTTTCTATTTTAAATATCACTAGCCATGCAGCAAAGAATACACAAACCACACCGTTAAGAGACTAGAATCAGAAGAGTCCTGCAATAGGACATGCCCATAACCCCACCCAGTGAGACCCGGCCACCGTCACCGACAGACACATCAACAACTTACCAGCTGGGTCCTGTCCTGAGGAAAACACTATCCAAGGAAAACGCCTGCTATTTACATGCGGTGATCAGTGATCCCATTGCTTCCTTCAATGGAGGCCCGGAAGCAATACAAGGGGCTTCAGCAAGTTCGTGGAAATAGTGCCTTCATGCCAGATGTATTATACAAAGCTGCCCAGAGCAGTGAGAGGGTTTATCCCAGACACTCAGTGGTGAAGAGGAGGAGAACTCTGGCCCACAGTGACAGTAAGGGGCAGATCAAAGATGGCGACCTCCATCACTGGCTGCACCGTCCTTCCTGATGAGCCCAAGGGCAGCCCAGACCCTCCCATTACTGCAGACCAGGCAGCCGCTGCCCCAGGGCCTGCACTGAACTGTGAGGTGAAACTATCTGCCATCTTTAGAGGATATCCTCATCATTAAGGAACACTTCCAGAGACTTCTGGGAAAGCCCAGGATTGTGAACACAGACAGATGAGTAGTCAGGGCACCCTGGGCTACAGGGGCTGTGCTGGTTCAGGGCCTTGCTCTCACTCTGACCCACTGGTCTTGCAGCTCAAGACCAAAAGCCCTGCCTCAGCTAAATGGCACATGGGCCTCGCGGAACCGGGAAGAGCCACTGGACGATCGTCAACTGGTCCTGCCTACCACATACACCAAGGATTCGAAGGGGTCTTTCTAGTCATAAGTGGCAAGAAAGGGGCCGCTGGGTTTTTTTCTTTCCTGTTGTTTTACTAACTAAATTCCCCTGTGAAGATACAGCGTGTCCTGGGAGCATGAAAGCACAGTGGGAGAAAATAGAGCTGCTATTCATAAGATTAGAAGTGCTGTTGATCTGCGGGAGATCATAAGAGACTATTTTCTCCCCAGTTCAGCATTAGTCTTTTCACGCTGATATCATGAATCAGAATGAAATGTAAAACTGAGAATTAAGCAAAACACTTAGAATAAGGAGACTGTTCTGTTTATAGAAATCGCCTTTGCCTAGCAGTGGGCTATTACAGCAGCAGACTGCATTAGCAGTCAAGCACCTAAAAGTTTAGCAAGCATATGATTAACAAGTTGAAAATAGAAAAGTGTAACAAGGAAAATATAAGGGAGACGACAGTGACCTATATTATAGTTAATTATCAACATGGAAACGTTAAAAAAACAACAACTATGCATGTGGATCAAGTAATTACAGCGTCAGGGTCACCTATTATATATGGAGCAGCCACCAACAATGGTGCCATCTGCCGGCAGGCTGACTTACCTCCTCCATCTGGGCCACCCCAACATCTGGGAGGGTAGACTGCACCATGATTCGGGGAACAGGCTGAGAAAAAAGCAAAGGGGCAAGTCAGCCAGCAGCTCGGTGGGAATGCAGGACCAAGAGCGGCAACAGCAGGATCAGCAGCGAATGCCGTCAGTGGGCAGGCCTGAGGGTCAGTCAGAGGGCCCACCAGACCTGACCTTTTACAAGTGTCAGGAATTCCAACAAGACACTGCCAGTTAGCTGTGCCAGTCTGCAGGGCAGCTGCGCACGGCACAGCCTGAAACACGGGACAGACAGCGCCGGCAAGGGGAGACAGGAGCACAGAGGATGCCCTCACACACATTCATTCACAGGCCCTCTCTCGTTCTACAATCATATTCCCAAATGCACCCATCAAGGGTTGTGTAGGAATTTCTCAACCAAAGTGACAGGGCCAGGAAAGACTTTGAGCAAGAGTTCTTAGACTCCCAACCAAGCCCTGATGGCCAGGGGCACTCCTAGTGCAAACAGGAAGACCCGTGAAGTGTTTTCCTAGGAGGAGAGCAGAAAATGAGCCAGTCTCACTGGAGCAGCGAAAATATGCCGGAGGCCTCAACTAATGAAGCAATGCTGAAAGATCGCTGCAGACTGCAGAGTAGAAAAAGCAGAAGACCAAGAAGGCTGATTTAGCTGTAGAATTCAAATTTACTGAGACTCAGGCCCTGGTGATGTAGTGGTTACGTGTTGGGCTGTGATCTTCATGGTCAGTTGTTTGAAACCACCAACAGCTTGCTGGGAGAAAGACTGGGCTTTCAGCTCCAGTACACAGTTACAGTCTCAGAAACCCACAGGGGTCGATCTGAGTCAGTATTAACTCGATGGCAGTGAGTCTGGTTTGGGAAGGTAGGCACATTGTTAAAGAGATACCAGCAACCAACCAAACAGGTGCAAGTGATAAGAGCTGAATTAATGGAGGCAAGCAATAACACAAGAATGAAGGAAGAAGACTATTGCTTATGGGCAGGTGATCCAAAGAACATTAACATGTTATAATTAATAAATATATGTACAGATAATTAGATACGTGTGAATATGTATGAAAACTAATAGATATACAGGTAAATAATTAGATACAAGTATAAATATGTATATAGATCAAGGAATAGGTACGTTTATGTAATGAGAGCTGGGGTAAGGAAAAGGCCGAGCATCGGCTTGTAACTGTGAGGGAGAAATTCATTTTGTGGCTGTGGAGTGTTCCAATAGCAGTTGGACACAGAAGCAGACATGATCATCCACAGAAGAAAACAAGAATCTATCACAGTCTCCAACTCCACATCTTCCTTCTCCAACACAAGGGTTTGGGCTAAACCTCTGTGTGGTGGGCTGACAGGGCTTCCCAGCTCAAATTCTCATCTGTCAGGAACTGCTGACTGTGGTATTGTTTGGAAATAGGGTCTTTGCAGATAATAACTAGTTACAGTGTGGACACACTCAATGACTGTGCCCTACAGTCTCCTTATACAGGAGGAATATAGCCATGGGATGATGGCGGCAAACGACGACGGCTGAGGACTCTGCAAACCAAGCCAAGCCAAGCACTGCCAGCAGACACAGGGAAGAGGTCGAGAAGGATTCTTCCCTGAGACTCTGGAGGGAGTGCAGCCCTGCTGAAGCCTGACTCCAACGTCTAAGGTGCACAGCTGTGAGAGAATACATTTGTGCTGCGTTAAGGCACTGAGTTTGGGAGACTGCATGGCCGCCCCAGGGAAATGATACGTACTAGCTGTTCTCCTTCAACGAGGGCCCATTCCAGTAGAGCAAATCCCCCGTATGCTCCACCACACTGAGTATATTGAGTTTGCTTCTGGCACAGGGCGAGGGTCTTTCCTCTTGTTCAGCCCAAGAGAACAAGAACTAGTCGCTCTTATATCATCTAATTAAAAATTCCTGAAGACCCATAATGACCACGTTTTCCCTTCTGCCCTGGACACAGCCATTCCTCTGGTTCCTGTGGTGTGTCTGAGTGCCTGAGCCTCTGAAGACTCCCCAGAGTCTATAGGCACTGGGCTGGACTCCTGAAGTCTTATGTCCTACTGGAGGGAGGGGCGAACCAAATCCTGATTTAAGGGAAGCATGCCCACTAGGAATAAGAGGCCCCATGTGGCTGAGAGTTAGCCTTAGTGTAATGTGAGCACCAAATATCCTTGAGTGAATGGTCCCTACATGGATCAAGAGGCAGCTTTCAGGAAATCCTACATGGTTTAAAATAAGGTGTGGTGTGCGTTACGGCAGTATTTTGTTCTGTTGTACATTGGGAACCAGTCGGAACCAGCTGGACAGCACCTAACAAAAACAGCATCTAAAATAACAACAGTCAATTGCACCTCAAAATCAACTATGGTGTGGGGACTGCTTTGGGAGGAAAAAGTTCTGCAGGTGATTAATGAGTGAAGGTAAGAGACTGCATGGCCGCCCCAGTAAAGTCCTACTAATAGGACTTTAGGTGAGGCACCGAGGAGAGGGGAGGTCACACTTACTGCCATCGAGTGGGTCCCAACCCCTGGTGATGTTATAAGGCAGGGTAGAAGTGCTCCTGTAGGTTTTCAGACTGTGACTCTTTTTTTTTTTTTAATTAAAAGATCATTTTATTGGGGACTCTTACTGCTCTTATAACAATCAATTGTATGAAGCATATTTGTACACATGTTGCCATCATTGTTTTCTAAACATTTACTTTCTATTTGAGCCCTTGGTATCAGCTCCTCCCCGCCCGACCCCAACCACCTTCATGACCCCTTGCTAAATTATAAATTATTATTATTTTCATATCTTACACCAACCACGGTCTCCCTTCCCCCACAGTTTCTGTTGTTCGTCCTCCTGGGGTGGGGGTGATTATGTGTCGATCATTGCAATCAGTTCCCGGTTCCTCCTCTCCTCTCTCCACCTTCCCCCTACCCCCTGGTATGGCTACTCCCATGTCAGGAGCGGGACATAACTCTTCACAGGAGCAGAAAGCCTCATCTTTCTCCCTCCAGGCGGCTGGCAGTTTCTTAACAGCTGGCAACGTAGCCACTACGCCATCAAGCTCCAAGATATTTATATTGTTTGGGTAAGTCTCCTTTACAACAGATAAATTGGGAGATTAATTTCCCTACTAAGATGAAAGTTGCCCCATTAAAAAACAAAAATGTAAAAACCGCACCAAGGATGGAATTGTAATGACCGGGGATGGAAGGAACCACCACTAAAAGGAGCTGGTTCTTGCCCTCCTAAAGAGGGCCTAGAAACACAGTTTACAACCCAGAATAATCAGAGAAATCCAATAGATGCTTTATACATATTTGCTCAAATACCATTAAAAGACTGACTGTTACATTCAGCTGGCATCCAGGGCAGCCCATGGGGCTTCCCGATGCCCAGAGCTTGTGAGCCCCGACATCACTGGCTCCAGAGGCCTCAACGTAAGCTTTGTCTCCTCCCTATCAGCAGCCACTCCTCTCATCGACAGTGACCCCTTCTTGTGTAAGTACCGCGCTAACGGATTGCGCCACTGGAGCTCATAGTGACCCCTTCTTAATCAGGCAGCATGAAAATGACCACAGCGCCCCCAACCAGTCAACTGAACTGTGAATTAGAAAATAAGTTCATTAAACATATTCAAATTGCCCCCTGCCTCACCCCTCAAAACAAAACAAAACCGAGCCACTGTGTTTAAATAAGAAGAGATCAGTTCTGCACGGCTGGGGCACAGTGTCAGGTACTATGACAACAGCTGCTTGATGGCTCAAGCCTCAGTCTCTTCCCAGGCAGTGGTGGCTGACAGACACACACCCCTGGTGAAGGGGGGTGACCTTTAACAGGCTCAATGGTGGCGAGGGAACTACTTCTACAACAGAGGACCTTGAAAAGTGTGTGCTAAAGGGAGCGGCAGTAGAGATGACAGAGACTGCGCATTCGTTTTCACCGAAGCTAGGTGGCGAGACTGCATTTCCATGTGATATACTATTCTCTCTCTACTTTTGAAGATTTCAAAATTTTTGCTTAATCAACAATTTTAAACGTATGCCGCTCAAATCAAATTACTCATTAAAATGAGCGCTAATATGTGTCCATTTGTAGCACTGTGGTGGCTTTGCAGTTTCTGAGAAGTTGGAAGCTATGTTACCAGGATTTCAAATACCAGCAGGTCACCATGGCTGGCAGGTTTCAGTGGTGCTTCCAGACTAACACTGGGAAGAAAGGTCTGGTGATCTACTTCTGAAAACGAACCAATGAAACCCTTATAGATCACAGCAGAACATTGTCCAACTTGCTTGCTTTGGACATTGTCATCAGGCAAGATCAACCACTGCAGAACATTGCTTTTGTTTCTTGGTGAGATGTACTGGCCCAGTAACTGCACTGATAAAGTCGATCTGGAGGATGACAGGGGACTAGGCAGCATCCCATGTTGTGGTACACAATGCTGCTGTGAGTTATAGTGAACTCAACTTCAGCTATCTACCTATGTAAGAAGAAAGAAAAGTAGAGTTCTGAGTCTCACTGGGCAAATCCAATTAAAGATTTATCAAACCTCACAATGTACAAGGCTTTGACTGTGGGGAGCACACAGAAAGACAAAGGCTTTGGTCTTGATAGATTGACAATCTAGTTTGGATGTATGAAAATCACTAAAGCATAAAAAAAAATATGGGAGATCTTAGAATGGAAGTTTCCAAAGCAAAGAGAATTCGAACGAGGAAAGGATCACAAGTAGAAAAGATCTGGAAAGCCTTTGTGAGGGTCATTTTGTTTTTTGAGGCAGGCCTTGGAGGATGAGATTTCCCAGGGCAGAGACACTGCCAGCAAAGGGGGCGCTTTGGTATAAGGAGTGGTTTGTGGACAGCAGGACAGCCAAAGAGCCGTTTTTTGTATGGGAAGAGTTCTCTCTACTAACATCTCTACCCTGGGGAGAGCAACTCCTCCTAGGCCTTCATGGAGAACATGCTAGCCCACAGGTTCCCAAGCTCACTTATAGCCTACTGTCCCTCATCCCCAGCAATGAAAACCTTTCATTCCACAGTCCATAATCCGGG